TCCTCCCTCCTTCCTTTCTTCCTTCCTTCCTTCCTTCCTTCTTCCCTTCCTCCCTCCCTCCTTTCCTTTGCTCCTTCCTTCCTTTCTCATTCTATTTTTTGGGTTTCCGTTTCAGCAGCAAGTTGACCTACATGCTCAACTAATAACGTGCTTATTAAAATGTTCCCTGATCTGCTCTTCTAAATGCTAAGACGCCAGTAAAGGGTTTTAAAAATCTATCTTCACTTTTGCTGGTCCAAAAATAAAGCAGGAATATCAAAAGTGGAAGAACTTAGTATATTACAACAATATATCATTATATGGTTGGTTATCAAATGTCTTCCACAACTATCTTGTCCACATCAAAACGGTTCACTCCTAAGGAGCATGTAGTATTTGTTAGATTCTGGGCTATTTTCCATGGATTATTTCACTTGATTATCATCAAAACTCACTAAAGTTAGTCCTTTTTATCAATCCTATTTTGTAAATAAATTAAAAAAAAAAAAAACAAGCCTTAGGGCATTAAAGATTAAATGGAGGGTGGATGAGCCAGGATTTGAAATCAGGCAGTTGATGGAGATCCTTTATTCTTAATCCTCACACTGCACTGAATGTATGAAAAGCTTTTTGTTCTAGAAAAGTTCTTTGTAGTTGATGGTCACTTCATTTTTAGAGAAGGACATTACACATTTGGCCAAAAATCTAACGGCCTTTAGTTAAGACACTATTTTTTGGAAAAGTTGGATGTAACTAAAATAATTTAGATCTTGAGGATCTTTAAATTCAAGACCAAAACGACCCATAAGGTGAGGGCGGTGTTCCTCCATGGATGTATCACTTATTCCAGTGATGCTTTTCTCTTCCCTTATGGCTCTTCCGAGCCTCAGGCTTGGGTCGGCTTCACTGTGCTCATTCAGACTGGGGAGCCCTTCCCATCCACACATCTCCACCACTGTTCACCCAGAGCACACAGGGGGTGACAATCTTTTCTTTTCTACAGCAACATCTGCAGCGACTTGTTATGGGTTCTTTTTCATTTGCTCTTCAGTCTTATTTTCTCCCTGTAGCTGTGACTCCATACAAATTCACTTTCGTTCATGTCCCAGTGTCAACACGCCAGAGTTCAAGGGAAATCACATATCACGTATTTTAAGATCTCTGGTCAATTCAGATAGATAATTTGGCATTTAAACACCTTGGTAGATTTTTCAATTACTCATGGTTCTTAACTATTTCTAGCTGATAAAATAACCTCGCATCATCCCTCGCCTTTGTGTAAGCTCTGCAGATGTCACTTTTTCTTGATCGTATCTCCAGGCTGGTTAAGTTACTGCATGACCACAGAACTATGACATGTGAGATTTTGACAAGACAATAGAAGTCTGATGGTCTGACCCAGAGGTTGGCAAACTTTTTCTGCAAAGGGCCAGATCAGAAATACCTTTGGTTCTGTGCGCTATATATAGTCTCTGTCGGAACGACTTAACCTTCCCATTGTAGCGTGAAAGCAGCCATAGATGGAAACACAAACAGATGACCGTGACTGGATTCCAGTAAAACTTTGTTTATGAAAACAGGCAGCAAGCCAGGTCCGGCCCGCAGGCTGTAGATTGCTGATCTCTGAGCTCCAGGGTTACTGCCAGAGCAACTTATAGATACTATTCTTATGTCTATCACAGAGAAGAAGTTGAGGCACAGGAAAGATAAGTAGTTTACTCAGTGAGGACACACAGATAGCAGGGTGACATCTAAGCCTGTATACTGCTAACCATTAGGCTATACTGTGTCTACAGAATACACAGTACAATATTTTATTATTTAAAAATATGCTTGTATCACTCGTTAATAGTTCTTACGGGGTAGTGGGATTGTAGTGGTTTTTACTCTCTTCCTTTTTGTTACAAATATTCTCTTAAAATTTAAACCTCGAGTACTTTCCTAAAAAGAAAAAAAATACAGCTCCCCTTTAAGGTAACGGATTTAAATTAGACCCTAATGTACGTTTTGTACTGTTGACTCAG